GCTTCCTTCTCTCTCGGGTAACTGCCGGTGTCGTCTCCGGTCGGACTCCGTGTTGGTGGGGTATGTCCACATCACAACCGAGCGCCGCAATTCCAGCGACGTTCTCTGTCCTGATGTTCAGTAAAGTCTCTCAGCTGTAAGTTTAGCAGAATAAACATCTGGGATAGACAAGACATGAAATGCTCACTCTGGCTGTCTCCTGAAGGGGGCGCTGCGTCTGCCATCTCATCTAACCCATCTAAGAAACGGGTCAAATAAAATTGAACAAAACATAAAATTGCTCACATTTTAATGACAAGTTTTGTGGTCTCTTTCGTCTAGTTTGCGTTTCCTTTGGTCCATAGTGCTGGTTCGTGACCATCGGCTGGACGCTGCCTGCAGGAGCCAAATGGACCTTTGTGTTCATATGTTGTTTCTGGTTCTTGGTGGTGTGTGGATGTGAGTGGGAGAGAGTGGCCATGGGTGTGTTTACCTCCACCGACAGGAGGCTGGAGAGGCTGGCTCCACCCGACTGAGGAAGCTGAAGGTGGAGTCTACGGGAGAAGGCTCCAGAACCAACTGCCACAGCATCTGGTTCTGGAGCCCACGGGAGAAAGCTCCAGAACCAACTGCCACAGCATCTGGTTCTGGAGCCCACGGGAGAAGGCTCCAGAACCAACTGCCACAGCATGTGGGGCGGCTAAGAAACACAGTGTTCTGATCACATGGCTGCATCGAGAAACTAGGCCTTCGTAAAGACTTTTTAATTTAAAGGTTTTTTATTTTATTTTGACTTGTAATCCAACAAACAATAAACGGTACCGACTGGATCCACTTCTGCTCATCATCTGCATGAGTCAAGATGAAATCCAACCCAGCCGTCAGTAGCAGCAGACTGAAGCTGAAACTGCCATCACGCTGCTGTTCACGGTGCATTGTAGGATATTGTAGTGACTACACAGGGTGTAACGGTTGTACCTCAACATTGGGACAGCTCTGTAACATGGCCAACACCCTGTATGGTCCCTATGTAGGTGTAGGGGGGATTTCAGACACAGCCTTTCTTCTCCTTCTTCTCCAACATTGAATTCCTGTTGAGGTTTCTGTGGACTTAGTCTTGGAGGTTCACATCAGGTGGAGCAGCACTGACACACATGGAGGCTGATTTAAACCCAGTTTAACCCAGAACCCTGTGTTTCAGGCGTTTGTGGTGAAAGTGGAGCGAGAAGCTCAGCAGGAGGTTCAGCTCGTTCAGAGGACCTTCGAGGAGTTTCATGAACTCCACAGCAAACTGAGGCTGGTGTTCCCCTCGTCCAAGCTGCCCAGGTACACACAGCTATACAACGGCTGCACAACAGCTTTGACCTCGCCGTCCTGTAAACCCTCTTTGCTCCGCCCACAGCTTCCCCAGCCGCTTTGTGATTGGTCGTTCCCGTGGCGAGGCGACGGCGGACAGAAGGAAGGATGAGCTGAATGGTTACGTCTGGCACCTGATCCACGCGGCGCCGGAGGTCGCTCAGGTGAGTCCAGTCACGTCTGCACATTCTGCACACCTATGACATCATACCAGTGACATCACACACGTGTTCATAGTGCGTTAGCAGCGTGTCCACCAGAGCGACATGTTGGGACACGTTGTTTATGGGTTGTTTACACGTTGTTTTGTTGGCAGGATTGAATTAATTCCAGGTGTGTCTGTGTGTTGCAGTGTGACCTGGTTTACACCTTCTTCCACCCACTGCCCAGAGACGACACCACAGGAACATCCAGCCACAAACCAGCAGGTAGGTTCACCTGAGAACACCTGAGAATACCTGGGGCCTCATTTATCAGCAGAGCGTACAAACATTCCTACGCAAAGTATGGAATTTATCAACTTGTACTTGTACTTAGAAATGTGCTTAAATATACGCACACCTCTGACCGTGCGTACGCACATGATCTGGTGGTAGAACAGTGAAACTACAAATAGAAAGTATTCGGGGGTTTTGACCAGCGGCACATTCCAGCATGAGGTTGGAGACATATGCGGCATTTCCAGGCACCACTGAGTAGGNGATAGATAACGTATCAATCAGAGATAGATAACGTATCAACCAGAGATGGATAACGTATCAACCAGGGATAGATAACATATCAGTTGCCATTGTGATGTTGCAGGTTAAGAGAGAGCCATCTGGGTCACAGTAAGACTTTGGCCTCATCCTTCCTGCTGACACATTGATCTTGTTGTTTGGAGTTCAGCCCCCTGAGCTTCAGCTTCTGCACCAAAAACAGGCTTCAGTAGCTCAGACTCAAACATGTGAACATTTATGCCCCCGTCAGAATGAACTTGATGACTGCAGCAGCTCAAAAGTTTCATGTAAACCAGTGTCAGGTTTCCAGAGGAGTTTGATTCAGACTGAAACTGACCAGCTGTTGTGAATGCATCTGCATCATGTTCCTCTGAGGATGAACCCTCTGACTTCTACAGACATCAATGTCTTTGACAGTAAATAGAAATGATTGTGAGTTGGTGGTTCAGTCAGAAGGCGGAGTGGGACAGATTTCACAGCAGGAAGCTGACAGGTGGACCCTAACACCTGGATCAACATTTTAACCTGTTGGATAAAGTGAAGCTCCTCTTTTTCTGTCTTTTACAGTCGTGTTCGTTCTTCAACTCCAACGCCGTCCCCCTCAAACTGTCCTTCCAAAACCTGGACCCTCTGGGGGACAATGTCAATGTCATCTTCAAGGTAACACCTGCGTACCTGTACCTGTCCCAACACATGGTGAGCTGACTTGTGACCCCTGCTGATGTCCCTGTGTCTGTCCAGTCAGGAGACGACCTGAGGCAGGACATGCTGACGCTGCAGATGATCCGCATCATGAACAAGATCTGGATTCAGGAGGGGCTGGACATGAGGATGGTCATCTTCAAGTGCTTCTCCACCGGCAGAGGACGAGGTGAGGACAGACAGGTGTATACCAGAAGGAGGACAGACGTATAGTTTGTATGTTACCTGTGCTCGGGGTGACTGGCAGGTGTGTGTCACCTGTTCTCAGGAATGGTGGAGATGATTCCTCACGCTGACACACTGAGGAAGATCCAGGTGGAACATGGAGTCACAGGATCTTTCAAAGATCGACCGCTGGCTGACTGGCTGCTGAAACACAACCCCACTGACGAGCAGTACGACAAGGTAACACACCTGGACATGCACCTGGACATGCACCTATACACGGATTACACAGGAACATGTGACCTGACCAGTCTTACTGCTAACTAAATTCACCTGACTCACCTACCCCCTCTGTCCAGGCAGTGGAGAACTTCATCTACTCGTGCGCTGGCTGCTGCGTGGCGACCTACGTTTTGGGAATCTGCGACCGCCACAACGACAACATCATGCTGAAGACCAGCGGTCATATGTTTCACATCGACTTCGGGAAGTTTCTGGGACACGCACAGATGTTCGGAAACATCAAGCGGTGAGAGCAAGAGGATGTCCAAGTGTTCGATGGTCACGCTCACCTGTGCGGAGGCTTTAGCCACCAGCAGTAGTTTATGTTAATCAGTGACTCACACAAGGTGCAGTAAAGAGAAAATAACAGATGTCTGACTTTGAGCTGCAGGTGTCGGCACACCTGACTGCTGTTGGTAAAACAGGTAGCGGGTCAGAGTTGCTGTGTCCAGTCTCTACAGGTAGACCACACTGACCCATGATGCTGAGACTGGGGCTTTGGTTTTACAGTCATCGGGACTAGAAGTCCTACAGTCAGTGAATGCATCATCTGAGATCAGACTGACCTGCATCAGCTCACCTGAGCCTGTCTCACCTGCAGAGACCGCGCCCCCTTCGTCTTCACCTCGGACATGGCCTACGTCATCAACGGAGGAGACAAACCTTCCAGCCGCTTCCACGACTTCGTGGACCTCTGCTGTGAAGCATACAACCTGATCCGCAAACACACACACCTGTTCCTCAACCTGCTGGGCCTGGTAGGACACACACACACACACACACACACACACACACACACACACACACACACACACACACACATTAAACTTGGTCTTCTTCATGACAGCTTGATGATATTTTGTTTTTTACTGTTAAAGAGACATGAAATGAACTAAACACTGTAACACACTGTGGTTGTGTGTGTGTTGTGTGGTTGTATGTGTGTGTGGTTGTGTGTGTTGTGTGGTTGTATGTGTGTTGTGTGGTTGTATGTGTGTGTGTGTGTGTGTGTGTGGTTGTGTGTAGATGTTGTCCTGTGGGATTCCTGAGCTCTCGGACCTAGAGGACCTGAAGTACGTCTACGACGCTCTGAGACCTCATGAGTCTGAGGCCGACGCCACCATGTACTTCACCAGGTACCAACAGAACCTCCAGGGGGCGCCGGCTTCTGTTTGTTCTGACAAGTTCAGATGTTGTCAGACCTGGGATTTGTCTGTAAAAAATGTCTCCAGAAATAAAACTCCAACAGACATGAAACGTTCTGAGGACTCAGACAGAACAGTTCTATCAGAACCACTGGACAGAGAGTTCCTGTTAGTGTCTGTCTATGGATGGATCCATGGTTCTACTAGAATCCAGTCTCTGGTCACATTTCACCAGCTGTTGAGGCTCTAACATCAGTAGAACCTGATGTGGTGAAGTTGGACCAGACAAGGTTCTGGTTTTACATGTTTGGACTAAATGTTGATGTGGATCATTGGTAGGAACCAGAACCTGGAGTTCACAGGTTGTAGATGTTGGTTCTGAGTTCCAAGCTACTTCACGTTGTCTTCATGATAATTCAACAGCAGATGAGGATTATTTCCGTACAGACACTGAAGAGCAGCCAGAGGAGCTGATGCTAGTTCAACACACATTCTGGGTTCTCCTTCACGGTTCTTCTGGTTCCTCAGAGCTGCAGGACTTGATTTAAAGGTCCACAGTGAGGAACAATGAGCCGGGAGCAGAAAGCGTTGCTGAGTTCAGAGTTGCTTCGGTCTGTCTCTGCAGGTTGATCGAGTCGAGCCTCGGCAGCGTCGCCACCAAACTGAACTTCTTCATCCACAATCTGGCTCAGATGAAGTTTGCTTCGTCGGAGGATCGTCCCACGCTGGCCTTTGCTCCCAGAGTCCACACGGCGAAGAGCGACGGCCTCATCAGGAACCTCTACATCTGCAGACACATTCGCACGGCCAGCAAAGGATACGTGAGTCCAGCACTGATCAGAACCCTGAAGAACCTGCAGCTCCTCTGGTCAACACTCTGCATTTTAGATCCACACTCATGTAGTTCTGAAACTTCCACAAGTTCAGTACTCAGCTGGTTTAGATACTGTCACTTGTCTCTTCTGAGGATTTAAACCCAACCTCCTCAGAACATCTGGTTCTGTATCTGCAGAACCTTTATCTACTGACCAGAGTTCTACCTTCAGACTGTGAATGTTCCAGAGGTCCAGGTCCTTGAAGTCCACAGAGGAGGGTCCAGATTTATCACCTTAATGGACTTTTTCCATCATTTCTGAGCCTCAGAACTTCATCAGAACAGCAGATAGACACATGACATTTAGGAGGAAGAACACATCTGGGTTCTNGTGGAGCCACAGACTGCAGCCACATCACAATCAAGCAGCATCACTAAACGAGCTTCATTTAGTAAATAGACGAGGGTTTTATTCAATCAACATCCAGATAATCTGCGCTGCACATTTGTGGCTATCCAACGTTGTTGCCGGCGGCCTGGAGGAACACGACTCGTTCATTGAGCAGAACAGTTCTGTGGGTCTCCAAGCAGGAGCTGCTGAGGACGGCTGGCTTATTGGTGAGTGTCACAGAGTGGAGATGTTTCAGCTGGACTTAGTCTGGTTATTAAACATGTCATCTGCAGTGATCAGGGTTATCCACTGGGTGGACGTTGGTATGAACTCGTCCTCCTCCAGTTGCATCAGTTCTCTTTTATGGGCTGTGACATGTTTTGTGACTCTGAGCTTAACGTCAAACCTCTTTTTAAACATTCTGCCACCGATCTGTCCTCTGACCAACAGAAATAACTGCTGTGGTTATCTTGTCTGCAGTGTTTTTTCTTTTGCTGCTCATCCCAACATTAATGCACCAAACAATATTTTTTGGTTTGCTTCAACCTCGCTGACAAGAACCTCCATCTCAGTTTCAGAAAAGTTTCTCTTTTTTGCCCTTTTTGCCGCGATGATGACGACAGGTGAGGAAAAAATAAACCTTCACTTGCTTATAAAGAGGCGTGTTGTTGCCCTATATGGTGATGTGGAGGCGTTCCTGAAGGCAACGTGCTCGAGCACGGAGGTTAAGAACCAGTGGGATTTATCAGCACTGATGTGCTACGATCCCCGTACGCACGTTTGATAAATACGGATGTTTCTGTACTTACGCACACTCTACATTTCATTCGTACGACAGAATTTAGAACCTTTTCTATGCACTGATGATAAATGAGGCCCCTGAGAACACCTGAGAACACCTGGACATGTTCACCTGATCTCATGTCAGCTGCAGATCCATCAAAGGGACATAACTGTCTGTGGTTATATGGGGGGATGAGTACAATCCTGAAGT